TATGGAGGAAGGCAGTAAGAGATTTAAAAAATAGTGTACAATCTAGAAATCCTTTGTATTTGGCATTTTGTATGTCTTCATAGAAACATTTGGCAGATTTACTTTCCTAATAACCTTTTGTTTCAGATAACATTAAAATTAAACTGTGCGCCAACAAACCAGCTGTAGGGTAAATGCGGTAAGTATCCTGGGCAGTAAGTCAGCTGAGCTAGAATTAAGAATTCATCACGAATAATCCATGCAATTCACACCTGGTTATGTATTCCCCTGGAAGGTAAGAGAGGTAGAAGGAAAGGAGTGGGTCAGCCATGCTTTGTATCTGGCACTTTCTATAAATCCTAGAGAAGAGAGACGCCTGCCAGCAGTCTATGTTTTTGTCACTTTTCCTGGCAAATAGGCCCAGAGGATAGAAGAAACTGAAAGTCAAGCAAAAGCAAAGGGGTTATGAGGACTGTGAGTCACACTTGTATTTTGGGAAGTGCCCCTGATGGATGGAACATCATCAAACTGATTCCAGACCATTACTTGAAGCTAGTAAGAAGAAAAGAAGATAGCAGAATGTTTGGGTAAAAAGTGACCAAAAGCAAGGGTCAGGTTACCTTTCTAACAAATACAGAAGGAGAGGAACACATTTGAGAAGTTCTGTGTTCATGGGATAAATGAGACTAATTGCAAAGGGAGAGCTCTAGAAATTTGTTCTAGATTTAAGTATTGTGATAGCCTTAGGATTCCAATTTGAAAGCTTCTTACACAAATCTAGTGTACCTCTGAAGACCTTCAGATTAACTTTTCTCGGCCCCTTACTATGTTGCTAATGCACCATAATCCAGCTCTGAAACATCACAGCTGATGGACTTGAAAGCTAGGCACAAAGTCATGCTTCTTGGATGGCTGTCTGTGCTCTACGTTTGATCCATGTAAAAGCAGCAGGACATCTGCCTCACAACCAGAAACCCCCTTAGAGTTTCTGGAACAGTCCACGCTTCTGCTCCAAGCCCAAGAGATTCCTCTGTCACCACACTTTTCAAGGCAATACTGAGTATAAAACTAGTTCATACTCTTCTAGGGAAAAGACACACTGAGTGGTCAGAGAGCCTCACACAGGCAGTGTGCAGTAATGAGTGGAAATAACACCGGGAAGCCACAGTTTTGAGGCTGGCTTGACCACTTGAGTGAACTTCCTTCTTAATAAAATGGTCTAATTCTTGCCTTGCCTTCTTCACAAAGTTATATCAAGATCAAATGAGAAAAATGAAAGCATTTTTGAAAGTGCTTGTGTGTTTGTGCATGAGTTGAAGGCTCCTTTGGGTCCTCTTAAAAAACTCTACCAGGTCCTAGAAATGATAGAAAGATCCTGAGTGAGCTTTGCATTTCATGCCTCAATTGTCCCTTTTGCAAAAGGGACTCCCCTCCTGGCAGGCTCAGGGGTATACATATTAGAACAGTGAACCATTTCTGTCCTGTATGTTTAGGAAGATTAGGGAGAAACCCCAGGGGATTATGGGTAATGTGAAGATTATATTTCAGAATTCTTCCTAAAACAAGACCCCTATATAACAGTGAAACTTCAACTGCAAGGACTGGACTGCAGGATCCAAAATCTCTCTTTTCCCGTCTTTCCTCACTCCCGTGTGAACAGCAAGCTTGGGTCATTCTCAGTCACCAGGCAGCTATCATGAGCCTTTCTTTCTCAGCACCTAGGGCTCGAAGACGGGGGGAAGAAGGGGAAGGCTGATTAAAATGGCCACCCATTCAGAAGAATATTGAGTCCACGGAGGAGGGGCAAAGGGCAGAGAGAGGGAGAGAAATGCTTAGAACTAGAGCACTGGAAAGAAAGGCAAGACACAAAGGAGGGCAGAAGGCACGGATTTCATTGTTGTCTTGACAACCAAACCCCTGTTGTTCTTGGTGAGTTTACCTAACAGCGAGCTGTCCAGGCTCTGCTCTGGGCAAACCCCACCACTGCAGGAGAGGAGGGAGGAGGGAAATGTGGAGGATGGAAAGATGGTAACTGTGTGCTCTAGCATGATGGGACTGGCTCCCGACGTCTAACTAGATTACAGGTTAGAGTATGCTCAGCCATGATCTGGAAGAGAATTAGGGACTGGGTTTAAATAAGCACACATGATAGGGTTCCAAATTATGCTGTGAAAATGGTTAGAGGAAGCTGGAAAAGACCAGCCTCAAAGAGAACAAGAGACAGACAGAAGCAGATGTCAAAGTTAAGGAAACAGGGAAAATACTGGAAGGAACACAGGGAAAAGGAACTATAATGAACAGAAGCACCTTGGGGAAGAAGAGGTAACCCAAAGGTATTTGTTTCCAGTTTCTTATCTATAGCCTGAATTTTAAAACCTTTCCAAAAAAGACGGTTATCCATCCTGATACTAAGGATATATAACAGAGCTGTGGTGATGACTCCACAATCTCCACATACTAGCAGGGATTTTGGGGCTACCACCTATGGTTAGAAAACAAGGGGGACAGGGTAGGAGGTAGACAGGGGACTTATTTTGAAGCTGCATTTATATAACAAGCATACCATGTTTACACAGATTATATATTTATTGGGGAAAGGCTAAATTCCCCCCACGAAAATCTCTGGCACCATACTTACATCAGCACTAGATTAAGGTGTATTTCCTACTAGTTCACCCCTACTCCCTCCCTGCACTAGTACCATAAGGTCTACTCCTCCACAGGGCACTTGGTGAATCTATATCTAAAGACAGAGGTAGGGGTGCCTGCGTGGCTCAATTGGTTAAGCGGCTGCCTTAGGCTCAGGTCATGATCCCAGGGTCCTGGGATCCAGTCCTGCATCGGGCTCCCTGCTCAGCGGGGAGTCTGCTTCCCTCTCTCTCCCTCTGTCCCTGCCCCTGCCCCTGCTTGTTCGCTCTCTCTCAAATAAAATCTTTAAAAAATAATAAAAAATTAAGACAGAGGTAAAGATCGAACCTCAAGAATTAACATATGGCTGTGTCTCCAACACCAAGTTAACAGGAAAGAGCCAAATGATCTCCATCCATGGCTGAAAGCAGTAAGAAACACCCTTAATCATTTAAGAGGTGGATAAGATTCCCAACATCAGTGCAATCTAGCACTGACAATGTCTACCTCAGTGAAATGGAGATCTAGGATTCTGGTATCCAAAAAGGCCTTGAGTATAGGACCAACTATCTTACAGGGAATACCAAAAGATTTTTTTCAAATAGCTTATAGAGAATACCAGCAGATTTTTTTCGGATGTCCAGCTGGTTTAATCACCGTAGACTCTCTGGTTTACTGTAGGTTTCTGAGTCAAAATGTTCTCAAATGAATCAGCTCTAGCACTGACTCCTTGAGGGGTGGAATGCACTCAAAGGGGCAACTTCTGGCAGTACATACTGCTCAAAGAAGCAAGTGTCCACTTTAGACTGATCGGAAGAGAGGGGAGAAGGGTAAGAGATAAAAGAAACTGGGCTCATCTAAAAGTCACTGGCCTGGAGGAGAGGGCAGGTAAGTAGCTTCTGAATCATGGAACAAGACAGGGAATGGTTTCCATTACTATCACCACCAAGACAAGGACCTGTGATTACAAAATGAATACTCCCTCAACGAAGGCAAATGGGTATAGTTTAACCTGCAGTGCCACCTTGTGCCCAGAGGGAGAATTCCTGTTCTAACTCCCCAAGTCGCAATACCTTGCTGTGCTTTCCAAGACATATTTAACAAAATGATCTTTCTGTCTTCTGTGCGCATGAACACTCTCTCTCTCACATATACACACTGTCTCTGTCTCTCTCAGAGAGTAACTAGATGAAGATATTAAAAATATGTTTAAAGGTTACTTTTTATTTAGAAGCAGAAATAATGCCCTCTCCTCTCTTTAAAATGCTTCGTGTCTGGAATATTCTTTTTTTTTTTTTTTAAAGATTTTTTATTTATTTATTCATGAGAGATAGAGAGAGAGAGGCAGAGGCAGAGGGAGAAGCAGGCTCCCCGCGGAGCAGGGAGCCCGATGCGGGACTCGATCCCAGGA